ACGTCACCAAATAAAGAGAACATCACTAAATTCAAAGGTGGTATTTCAATTTGGTGAAATGATTGATGGCCTCTCTCCCAGATCAGAGAAGTCCAATCTGGAAGCTAAAATGAATGTGCGTGTCAAATACTCTGACCATCAGAACAGGTACTCAACTCAGACCAATGTCACAACACACCTACAATATGGTACAACATACACAAAGCCTTCAAACAGAATGAAAACACACACACACACACCCCAAAAAAGCAAGACATTTACATCTATAAAATATGCACAATTTGTCTCGAAGTGAAAATCTTACGCAGGTTCTAAATCACTCCTCTGTTACCAAGGAGTCTGCTGATCAAGTGTCAAAATCCTACAAACAACAAAATAGAATTCACGTGCTCAGGTTTCAAAACTCCCTTCTGTAGAAGATAGGGGGTTTTGAAAAAATTAAAAATGTATCGTCTAAAAAAGCACCATATTCTTAAAATATGGGAAACGTGAAAATTCCTTTCTAACGCTGTCTCCTCCGCCAGCGGCGGGTTTATGACGGATCCAAGGCACTCACTCATTAGACACAGGACAAGGGCAAGGAAATCTAGACCAGTTTCAAAGCCTCTAGGTGCTACAATCTAGGGAATCCCTGGGCACAGACAGCAGACAGAAGGGAGGGAAAGAATTAGGGTCATATGCGTATAGATGTCATCAACCCTAAGAAATAATGAAGGCTAAAAATTCTCTTTACTTTGAAAGGAATTTTGGAGAAGTGAATGATGACCCTAGAGCTAATATTTACTGTGCACTTCTGCTGTGTTGGAAATGGAATCTCTACTTCTCAAAATCACCTTCTGAGGTGTCAATAAAATCACTCCCATTTAAAGATGTGGAAACTAAGGCTCAGAGGAGTTAACAAGCTCCAGTTGTACCTCCTGACAGTCAAAGGATTTTTAATGTCTCTTCTTGAGTGCCACTGTCACCTACAGATTCCCTGACCACTGGGAATGTATGTCACTGATATGAACAGGAATCATCAAACTGTCAAATACCATGAACAGAGAGAACCATACTCTTAATATAACAGGGAATGATGAGTGGGCCCAGAGCCACAGTCCGCTAAATCTGCACAACTTATGGGGACGTGGGTGGCCCAGTAGTATTGAGAGTTGTGCTGTCATTCCAAAGGCTCATGGTTCAAATCCACTAGCTGCTCCAAGGAGGAGGAGTGAGTTTTTCCTTCTGCAATCTGCAGTTTCTAAACCCACTGGGGGTTCAGTTACAAGCTGGTTCAGTGGCAGAGTGAGCATTAACTGGGTGCTAAGAGAAGGCAAACATCATGCTCTGAATCATCATCGTGCTCAAAGATGTGGTTGGAAATTTTTACCAAATCTTTAGTGTGGTATAACAGACAGTTAATACGGAAATAATCCAGAAAGAAAATAACACGGCAGGATAGGCTAGGAAGAATTTCAAGGAAATCAAGGTGCTTTGCACTCAGCCCTGAACTTACTTCAGAATTTCCACTGGGAGATGGGGTCACTGAAGAGTAACAGAAAAGGAGACTGAAGAGCAGAGTGGGGTGGCCCAGCGAGGCATTGCA